TAGCCAATCTAGAGGGTGTTCGTCTCAAGCGACTGAGAGACAGGAGTCATCACCGACACACACGACCCGACGGTCTCGCCAAGGAACACAGGGCCAATGGCTTCCATGACACAAACAAACAATCGGGCTGTCTCCGATCGCATTGTACCACAGACGTACACCAGGCACGTCTCGTCGCAGGAGCGTCTCGTGCAGAGTCGCTGGGATGTTTGATGAGGGAGATTGTACTCTGGTCCTCCTCAGATGACTGCAGCAGGACTCCAGTGTCACCTCTTCTGGGGTGCTCTGGACGACCTGTCAGAACGGCTGTTGATGTGTTTGTGGTCGGACTGCCAGCAGTTTTCACTGGCTGTGTGGCTGTGGATGACTTCTGGGCTGAGGACGAGGGGTGGCTGGACTGGGCTGGCTGGAATCAGCTCATCTGGGAAGACAAAGCAGTGTGGGGAGGGACGCTGGGTCTTTGTGCTGGTGAGAGAGCTTGGCCTAGTTGCTGGGCCCGCTCTCGCAGGAGGCTGCAATGTATTCTTCTTCTCCTCCGGGTTCCTCTTCTTCCAGTGGACCTTGTCGTGACGACGACCACCTCTTGTTTGGACGGGTCTCGTCAGGAGTGGTGTGCTGGTGCGCTGGTCTTCTGCCAGTGGCTCCTCCCCAATCACTGTTCTGTAGAGACGTTGATTTCCCACTGCCAGCAATCCCCCACCATCACCAGATTTAGTCAGTTTTCGTTTGGTGACTCCTCGCTCATTTCTTCTTGGTAGATCTTCTTGGCACGTCTTCTTCCTGGTGGTTATAGAAGGCAAACATGTACACGTATAGTAAAGGTGTGTAAAAGGTGTCAATAACATTCACTAGATTCCAGGTAACTATTTGCAGTATAAAATGGAGGGCCCAGCATTGTGGCACCCCACGTGCAGCAAGGCCACTGGCACAAGGTTTTCCATGTATAATTATAGTTACCATGGAGTCAGCATCTCAACTAGCTTCATACATCTTGTTCTTTACTTATATAGGAATAATTATGTCAAGGTTTACTAGTATTTGTTGCAATCTCATTCAGGAGCTAGCTCAGTTGAACCTGCTTTAGGTTAATATTGCATAACTAATGCATGTCTCAACAACTTGGTAGCGAGGTGGAAAGGCAAGGCAAGGCAAACAAGTTAACATTCGCATTGAAACATGTGTTGACAAAAGATAGAGTGCAAAAGTTGGTAAGTGGAGAAAGAGAAGATGAGAGAGATGCTCACCAGTGGGGAATAGGGACTGGACTCTCTCTAGAACATGGTGATACTTTCCATCTTCCAGCCGGTAGAGGGCATCTGACACATGCTCCCATGTCAGGTGAGGATGTTCAGTGGAAATCACTCTGAGCACTTCTGCTTTCCTCTCCTTATCACTGGACAACTGAGACCTTATCTTATTCAGCATGGACCACGGGACATCCATCCGTATACCAAAGTCCCACCACAGTGTGTCAGGTAATGAGTCCAGAGCTGGCGTCAGGTTGGAGAGAGTGAGGCTGATACCTGTGAGGATCAGAGGAACACTTTCATACAACATTCATAACTGACATGACTAGTCAACCAATTTCTTGTCATATCAATACACCACCCTCTATATTATACTGTAGTATGTAAGCCAGTGTAATGAATTACAGCAACCAAACTCACAAACTATGGCTTAACATGCTAAATGTAGGTACATATGGACAGAGTATTACAGTACTGTACTGCACATGTACATTCTCATACTGACCATGTGTGTGTGGTAGGTATTGTCTGACAGTCTCCAAGGCCGTGTGCTCCTTCATGTGCCATAACACGACTAGCTATCCTCCCCCACGACACACCAGTACAGGTCTGGAGGCAGTACTGCAGACCAGCCACTCTCTTCTCTTCTTTACTCGAGTATGATCTACTGTCTCTGATCTGACTCCTCACTGACCGAGGAACACCAAGAAACCCCAGTAGTCCCATATCCCAGAACCGTCTCACATGTAGCCCACAGCACCGTGTTACAGAGTGTAGAGTGAGGCTGTGTTCTATCTGAGGGAGAGGGCATTTCTAGTAGTGACAGTGAACAATCACGACAACATGACTAACATCTTCACCAGTCTACAGACTGGACTGGCTATGATACCACCTGTTCCCCATCGTTTGTAGGTGCATGTAAGTTACAAACAATTGTTGCAGGTATTAAAGGAATTTGTGTCAGTACACAAGGGCTAAATATTACTAAACAATGCAGATTTCTGTTTTTTCTCCACTGCCACAGTCCGTTTTGTGACGCATGTGTAGGCATAACACTGATTGCAATGGTAACAGGCTCTTTGGGGTGCATGACCTGCGTAGGTGAATGCACCCCAATTAATTTTAGACCGTTGATCATGATTAGCCAGCACAAACATGTTGGTTGCTATGGATACACATACCAGTGAGAGGTTCAGCATTGGATCTTATAGAGTCGGCCAGCTCTGTTTCTCCCATCCTGTCCAGGGCAATAATGAGTCTCCTCCAGCTGGCTAGAGGGTCGGTGTTGATCCAGTAGGATATAGCCTGCTGCTTTTGATCCATCTCATCTGGGAAGTTGGCCGTGATCTCTTTCTGCTTTGATTCAGGTATGTAGAGGTACGTGTCAATGACCCACTCCCCAATCCACCCCACCACCTCTTCACCTCCCTCACTACTGCCAGTACATTGGAGGTAGTGAGGGGAACACCTGCCATGGAGTACACACATGTAGTGATGTATAGCATCCGTACTCTATATAGACTCTGAACTAGCTCATTAATTTTCATTCGTGAATAGTGTAATGCACGTGACCAGAGGAGGTTGCACACAATAAACATTCCTAAGCTGTCCGCACATGCGGTTATAAATGTAATCAAGTATCGTAGCTGCGAAAGGAAGTGGCTCTGGCTGGTGTTCAGGCGGGCCAAGACCTTGCTATCTCTCGATTGTTTATATGTCCAAGAGTGTACCACGGAGAACACTCGTAGCCTTGCAAACACCAGTGTGCCGTTCTGCAGAAAGTGCTGACTCAGCGGGTTGACTGGGTTGCGTGGGCAAACATACAACTCTAAGGCACATGTGACGCAAGCGATGACACGTGCACAACCTCTTCTGCCCGTGGACCAGACCCTTCGTGAGGAAGTTGCGCACAATCAACATTCTGTCCGCGCATGCGGTTATAATGTAATCGACGAGACCCTTCGTGAAGTGCTTGTGCACAGGATGTGGGTGGGGCAAATGGCCTTTCAGAAATGGTCACGAGACTACAGAGGGGTGTGGTTTAGTTTACTGGGCAGGGAGGCTGAGTCAACAGGTCTCTCAAAGTTTGTTAAATGAGGCAGCTGGGAATCATCTAATTGTCCCAGCTTCTATAGAGACAAAACTATATTCCCTCTTATTTCAGGTCCACACACTTTTGAACACAACTCTCCCTCTCTTCACCCCACTACCATTCTGAACCACTGAATCGGCCCACGCGCTAGTCATTGAACTAACTGGTACTTACTTCGTTTCCCTCTCAGAGTGCTCTGGGCCATTTTACTGGGTCACTGTCTGTGGGAGAGAGAGACTCGGCGGCTTCCTGGACAGCAGATGAAGGCCGCGCTCAGCCCGGCACAGGGCCGGCCGGCCGGCGGACGGTCTACCTCGACGTGTAGGTGTGTGTGTGTGAGCAGCAGTAAACAACTAACACGAGCCCCACCCACAAAAACCAAATGCGCATGCGCGCGTGGTGGCCCATGCCTGTTGCAGTGATCAGCTCATCCTCAAATATTTTGTGAAAGATCCTCTTGTACTGCGACCGAGTCACGGCCTCCACTAGCTCCTATCCTCCACGAACCAGAGTTCATTCTCCAGACTGGTCCCTTCAGTCACATTGTTACTATTCTGGAGCGGAGCTCAGCCCTATTACATCTTTATCTTCCTCTTGCTAAAGCGGTTGCAAGAGACTGTAGCACAGACAAAAATAGGCCATGGGCACATTCCTTTTGCTTCACACCTATTATGCACATGCGGAAACTCTTTCTCATATGTACTAGGAACTCCAGGTGGCTGTATATAGTGCTCCCCGCACTGATTGCGGGGTCCTCCCCTTGTACGGCTCAATATGGAGGGTGAGTTTGATGTCGTATGCAAGGGCGGCCTCCAGTAAAACCGGAATGACTGGATCATGCGGGGGTCCCTCTTTTTCAGCGAGACCCTGCAATTCCTCAAAATGATGACACACCTCACGGTCAAAGACTACATCGACTTTGGTAACCCTCACGGTCAGCTCCCTCTCTCACCGCACCCAACACTAGCATTGTAATTAGAGGGGTTCCACACGATGTGTGCCGGTCAGCTCTCTCTCTCTCACCCACTGTATCCAGAGAAGCCTATATCACTAAGTACAGTAGTATATCTTAGGGATAGGGGACTTCTTGTCTCTCTGTCGCCTGTGTATGGTGGAGAAGACGTTCATCAGTGGAGGGTTGATTGACATTCTTAGTCCGCAGCTCAGCTCAACTCTTGTGTGGTGTCTGAGTCATGTGACTCATCCCTACGTCCACCTCACCGAGGACAGCTACGATCAGGTTAGAGATTTAATTCCTTTATATGGGGTTAATCCCTTACCAACTGGTTCATGTTAAAAACGTAGAGCTTTAGGGTTTAGTGTGAACCTATGAACAGTACATGTAGATGCTAGTGAGGTGGATGTTTTAACCCCTTGTCATCAGGTTAAAGTGACCTCTCTACCTCTCGCCAACTACGAAGTTTTTGGTGCACTTTTGAATGAGGCTTTTAACCATCAAACCTTTTCTTCCTGCTTTTTTTCTTTTAACCCCTTCCTCACTGTGCAGGTCAGTCTTCCCCTGCTGTCGGTGTTCGGGAAGGATGCTCCTTCGAGTCAGTGGCTGTGCGTGTTTTTACTGGACAAGGTGACCTTTAACCTCTCTGTCTGGTCAATGGAGGAGTCTGTTGCCGTGGATACCGTCGCACTACTGGGGACTCTCGTCAAGAACACTGACAGGCAAGGAGAAGAAAATAAACTTGACCGGAAAGTGAGGTTGAGATATCATTAGTTGTCTGAATTTCGTGTGTGTGTGTGTGTGTGTGTGTCGTTACCAGCCTTGCGTGTGACTACGCCTTATTACTTCACTTTATTGTCGTACATGTACTACATATGTCTCCCCCCTCCCCCCAGGGCGTCTGTGGTTGTGAAATGTGAGATGATCTGGTCACTAATGAGAGGGTTTGCCTCCGGAGGTCCCGAGGTGGCCGCCCTCCCTCCCCGGGCCCAGCGAGACCTCGTCACCTCCCTCGTCAGATGTGCAGTCAGAGAGTCCAGACAACCCTTCCTCTCTCAGGTTTATAATTCAAAGTAACTATGCAATAGTTAGACAACGAGTCATTGGAAACTACGCAGATTTAGGAACGTGATTTAGGAAACCTCGGGCCTTGTAGTAGCGTTCCCCGCTGTGCTCGGAACACCAGGGCCTCGCTGCTGCCTAGGCAGAGCGCTCTACCCACCGAGCTTACCAGGGCAGCCAAGAAGACAGAGCACTCTACCCACCGAGCTTACCAGGGCAGCCAAGAAGACAGAGCACTCTACCCACCGAGCTTACCAGGGCAGCCAAGAAGACAGAGCAAAAGTCTGCAATATAATACAACGCAACGGAAAAACAAACCCAAATTCTGTGCATAGTTGTCTTGTTTTTTCTCCCCCCGTCAGTTGCTGGGCCCTCTTCGCCAGAGGTTCTCGTCTCTGGTTCTGAACCCAAACCTGAGACCAGGAGAGAGCCACAGCCCAGCGACCATCAGGGAACTCCTGTGTCTCCTGGAGGCCCTGTGTGGACTGGCACTCAACACCCGACCTGCCCTCATACAGGTGTGGGTGGGTCTCTATAGTCACTAAGGTTGTCTCTATCTCAAAGGGTCCCTTATCGGAGGTTCCGCTGTATTCATGAGTCGACGCCGTTGTTTCCTTACGTAGGAGTTCTTTGACTACCTGCTACCTCTATTGCAAGCCTCAGTCCAGTTGCTGGAGCTGTACACACACACACCAGAGGTCGTGGGGGTCATTCTCGAGCTCTTTGCGCTGTCAGCTGAGAACTATGTCGTCTTTCTCAGCCAGGTATGGAGAGGGTGGGCTTCATTTGGAGATATGAGGGTGTTTTACAGCAATACTGCTGAAATTTGGCACTTGGCGTTCGCTTACCAAAAAATGACTCACTAGTTATCAGTCCTTCTTGTTTTATGCCAGGAGCATACTATGGAGCTGTACAAGGTGTGTCTGGATCTCATACACTCGTACGCCCGTTCCAATACCGGCAAGTACAGGAGAACCGGTCTGGGTCTGGACGAGGAGGAATCCTGCGAGGACCTCCTGCAATTCCTCAAAATGATGACACACCTCACCGTCAAAGACTACATCGACTTTGGTAGCCCTCACGGTCAGCTCTCTCTCTCTCTCCGTACCCAGCGAAGCAAGCCTACCTCTATCACTAAGTACAGTAGTATACTTAGTATAATAGGGATGGGCATGGTACCTAGCATCATACATTCACTTGTTATACTGAAATAAGGGCACGTCACGAGTCCCACTGGTGTCCAGATTAGAGGGGTTCCACACGATGTAATGCTCCCAGATGGATTGGTACACCATGTGTGCCTGTGTGTCTGTCTGTCTACCCAGATGGAGAGTCGGTGAAGCCAGTTGACGTGGTCGTAGCCGGACTGAACACAATCCTCCCTCTCATGACCAATGAAATCCTCAAGGTTTCCGTTTTTACAACCTCAGCAGAACTCCTGTACTTTCTCTCTCCTCTCCTCCAGCTACTATATACTCTTCTACCTAGCCTTATACATTTACCCTCCCTCCTATACCTCTGGTTTCCTTCCCCTACACAAGCAAGCCCTTCTTTTGCATTTACTACTATACAATTCTCTCCTTTATGGTTTTTTTCTGTTTTTTTTCCACATTATGAACTGTGCTATATATATATCAGAATTAGCTCAATTTTTGCCTTCCCTCTCTCTTACCACCCCCCTCACACACACTCCTCCCCCCTCAGTTCCCATCTCTATGTCGCCAGTTCTACATTCTAGTCAACTATGTCTGTGAGAGCTGTCCAGAAAAGCTCCCCACAATTCCCCACCAGTTGTTCCTCACCTTCATGGACCTACTGGAGACCGGTCTACACAACTATGGCCCTGAGGTCCGGATCCTCTGTCTAGAGGGTATCGAGGGTGTGGCTTCCTGCCACGCCCGGGCGGGGCCTCCCCACTCCTCCCAGACTCTCACCGATGTACTACAACACTTCCTTAAGGTGTGTTCTAGCAAGGCAGGGGTGTTCTAGCAAGGCAGGTGTGTTCGAGTTTGGCTAGGTTCATAATTACGTACGCCGCATTGCCCGGTCATGCCATACCGGGTCGCGTCCTGCTGCGAAGATATCCTCGCAGCATGGCAAGTCGCGACGGGTCATACTGCCTTAGAAAGGCAAAGGCTAAGCAAAAAAGTCAACTAGTGGGCTATATTTGGGACTAAACGATAGGCCCAGTGCAAGAGTTCCATTTTTAGTGACATGTTTCTTATTACACTCCCTGCACAGGTGATATTTGATCAAATGCTGAGTGCTTCATTTGATATGGACACCATTCATTCCACCAGTGGAGCAGTCTATGCCATCATATGCTACCATATGGTATATACACCTGTTATGTATGTATCTGTTACGTAGACCACTGCAGAAATAAATATTATAATACTGGACTTGGGGCGTACATGTATATAGGGTCCATACACACAAATTTCCAGGTAAATCTTTCAATTTTCAGCTTTAACCCTTCCCCCCCTCTCCCCCCTCACCAGGAAAGCTACCTATCCCTAGCCAACTCCCTCATCTCCTCCCAGTCAGATCCCCAGAACCAGAGCCGTCTCATGGAGGCCTTCTCTCTCCTCACTCCTCCCTCTCTCCCTCTGGACTCCAAGAGAACTTCCAAAATCACTTTCAGAAAGAACCTCGAGCAGTTTCTACCGTTTGTGAAAGGTTTCTTGTGTTACAAATGACGACACACACGTTTCATCATCAGTTGTTTTCTTTTTTTTACCATTATAGCAACTATCTGGCGTCATATACCATTCTGTGGGATGAATGCTTTTTATTTCATAGTGAGACTTGTAATCATGTGAGGGAGGACATATGTACTTGCAGTTTGGTGGGAAAGTTTGTGGCACAAAACTTTTGCAGATTAATTTTTGTAGGTTTACACCCACAAAATGTCGCAGACAAAAAAAAGACTTCCTCCCCTACATGTTTTCTATGTTTACACAACTGCAACAAAGGGCATGTGGTGCTCCCTGATTAACCCTCGGCGTGCATGTGCAGCGAGGGTTAGTGTAGTTGTCGTGTGTGTCTGTCTGTCTGTCTGTCTGTCTGTTACCCAACATCTCACTTCACGAGCCATGAATCACTCCACAAAGGGCATGTGGTGCTCCCTAATTAGAATCATAACTACGTAGAACAACGCAACACATTTTTGGTGAGCGAATGCGAGAGTCACACCGCGACATACGCTCCTTCACGTAAAACATTACTGTATATGTGCAATAGCGTCCGTATAATAATGTGGAACCTCCGAACAAGGGACACTATGGGGCCAACGATTTTGTCCCTTGTAGAGAGGTCGTCCCTATCTCGGAGGTCAAATAATACACTAAGTATTAGCATGGGATTGAAACAAGTGTCCTTTGTAAAGAGGTTGTCCCTATTCGGAGGGTCCCTTATCGGAGGTTCAACTGTAATGTGGAAAAGACGATTAGGTAGACTTGCTCCACTTGCCAATTATGCTTGCTGTGTTGTGTTGAAAATTTAACCTCACAACTAAGAAACAGCATTCTAACTAGCTACAGAGTCCATACGTCAATGTTATTATGTAATCCGAGGCAATCAAAATCCGAGGGTGTCCAAAGAGAGAGTCCTAGCAGACTGGAGGAGGGGTTCTGGAGAGAATGTTGGGATTTCCTGAGACTCAGTTCTGGGCTGGAGCTGGCACTGTGGGAGGAGGGAAAGGATTGCAGCAATTTGGAGTATGTTCATACTTTTTGAATAGTAGGCACTGCCCTACCCTATTAAATTCACAGACTGTTCTATATACTACTGTACTAGAGGAATGCAACACGTTATTGGCGAGCAAAGTGAGCAGTTCAATATTTCACACGTGTTTTACGTGTATTTAGAATAATGTAGATCATTACGGTATGTGCAGTGCCCATCACATAAATTCCTGCATTGACATATACGACTATACTGACTATACTGCTACATACATACTGGAGTCCAATAATGTACACAAGGAAAAGGCAGGCATGCATGGATAATGTTTTGACAGACGGCATGCATAGAGTACTGTCCTACATGCATACATACATACTGGACTTTAGTCCCAATAATGGGTGGCAATAATATCTCTATCTAGAGTGCACCAAAGGTAGCATTGTACTGGTCACTGTGAGTATTTGCGAGGCATTGATTCTTTGCCGTAACCAACACGCCAGTAGCACTATCAAACGACTTTTCCGGTTTTCCCCCGGGTTGTCCCATTATCTCATAGAAGTCATATTGTACACTAGAGAACCTACCATTGTGATTGTGAGCGATGGTGAGGGCGAGGGCGGGGTTGTTTCCCCCGGCAGGGTGGGCCACTGCAGCCACAAGCAGCTGCCACGACGGAGCTCCGAACCTCCGAGTGTCGTAAGCCTTCTTCAGCCACTGGGTCAGGACCTCCCTGAGACGGCTCTGAACATCGCGACAGTCTGCCTCGATGGTGTCAAGGGTACCAGGATGGAGTCTCAGGGCCAGACCCAGACCTTTCCACTCCGCAGCAACATTGCAGAGCTCAGAGTGGACTTCAAACAAGTC